AAGTCATCCGCCAGAATATCGCCAACCACCAGATTGATGCCGAAGCCCTCTGCCCGGGAGCGCATCACCGCAATGGTCTGAGGGTGGCAGAGGTGAGACACCACGTAAGCCTTGCCGGCCTTCTTCTGCTTCGACATGGGCAGGGTGGCCAAGGACATGGTCATGGCCTCAGCGGCCGCAGTACCTTCATCCAAAACCGAGGCATTGGCGAAGGGCAGACCAGTGAGATCGGCAGTCAGCGTCTGGAAGTTCAGAAGGGACTCGAGACGACCCTGACTGATCTCCGGCTGGTAGGGAGTGTAGCTGGTGTACCATGCCGGGTTCTCCAGGACGTTACGGAGGACGACCGGGGGCACAATGGTCGGGTAGTAGCCCGTTCCGAGATATGTCTTGCCCGAAACATCGATTTGCTTGCGGTAGGTATCCAAGAGCTTCAGCATATCCGTCTCTCCCAGACCACCGTGCACGCTGCTGTGGGGAAGATTGGCGGTGGAGTGCGGAGCAGACACCTTTAGGTCCTTCTTGGACAGGATGTCCGCCGGCAGCACTTGCTTGACGAACTCATCCAGCGACGCCACCGGAGGATCCAGGGTGGCAAGCATCTCCTTGGCGGCATCGGGATTGGGGCCAATATGACGTCTGGGGAAAGTATCGAGGGGTTGGAAAAGATCCGGGGGATGAGGCACGCCATGATCCGCGACGGAGCTGGTGTAGACGGGCCGTCGTGCAGAGGGCGACTGTTGTGTGGTGGTGTGAAGGGAACGAATCAAGGGAGAAGCTCTCCGCACCGCAATTGGTGAGGGAGCAGCGCGCAAACGAGAGCGCAGCGCCAGCTGGCGAGTGCCGCGCAGAGCGCACAAAGATGCAGCCATACCTACAATTAAACTGGTCCAACGATTTCAAGAATGGCGGACGGTAGGTAGGTGAGTGGGGAGGAGGGGAGTCTAGGGAAGGGGAGGTATAGACCCGGTTGCGCGAGACTTCAGCACATGAGATTGCGCAACACAGTTGAGTAGAAGGAGGTAAGGGAGATGAGGAGGAGAGAGGAGAGAAGATGAAATTAATTGCGACGATGAGTGATAAAAAGAAAAAGAATAGACTGGAGGGGAGCAGATAGCAAGAATAATTAATCCTCCTCGACCGCGGGCGCCACGGATACTCGTGTCGGGAAACTGTCTGTCCGGCCGATAACGCTGGTCCCGGGCCAATCACAAGACGAGATACAGCTCCGGTCCCTCGCGATGGAGCCCCGCCATTTGCGATAAGCCCGCGATAAGATTCACTTTCCCGCGGGAAATGCTTGCCTGCATTTATCTGTTTGATCAGTTCTTGCACAGTTTCTTTCGTTATACCCAGTTCTTAAAGATAATCTATGGCGGACTAAATATATCTCACTGAGCAGATGCCCCACTGCTAATTTTCTCACCAATTGACGTATACGAAATGTTGAATGAGGAAAAAGAACAGCCTCCCTCCGCAATGGAAGCTCCTCCGATAGCGTTCCCCGGTGATGCAATCATGACTTTCCCCGTGGAGCTGGGCCCGTCGGTAAGAGTCCCCCTTGCGAGCTGTGCGCTGCTGCAGCTGCAACATGAACTTTTATTCCAGTCTCTGACTTACGTTACTGTGTATGTACAACTGGTCTCAGCAGTTCATTGGTACTCTAAAAAATTACTCATCTGATAATTATGGACATTGCACATCCTTGCTTACACGATGCAGCAATTATGCAAGAATATAGATAGTACTAGCGTGCAGCTCCCGATCTAGAACACGAACCCCGGCTGCTTTCCCGACGGGCAATTCCATTGCGCTCCACATCATTGGCTATCTCCAGCATTTGACGGCACAAACATTAACGGAATACTAGGTAGTAATTTCATATCCCATCCGACAGAGATACCAGCCCAAATCCACACAATACAAAATCAAATATAAAAACCCTACTTTCCCGTCCTAGATAGTATACCGGAAATCGGCGGACCCCTCGATAACACGCTCTCCCCGATCGGCTTGCTTATTCGCATATCGGAACCACACACTCAGAGCAGCCACTGTGATCATCGTAACAAGGTTGCACCTGTATCACACTTAGCTTAGTGCAACCAACACACAGTATAAATCAAGAATACTCACGCAATAGTTGTCCATATCCCCGGTCTATATTCGGGCGCATCTTTCGACTGAAACACCAGACTACTGAGGATGCCACCAATGGCTCCAACTCCAATCAGCGTCGCGCTGCAGAACGCGCGCGTCCACTGGCCCCGGATATTGTTGGCTTGATAGGCCATGACAGCGGGAATATTGGAATTTGCCCCCGCGACTACCAGGAACACTCCCACGTATCGCGCTGCATTGCCTTTGGCAAATCCCATCAACGGAAGGCCGATGATGCCGACTACGGCGTTAAACGCCACAATTGGTCCCCGTATACGATACCGATCGCTTACCCAGGCTGTTGTATACATCACGATGCCCGCGAAGCCGTAGGGAGGTGCAACTAGACACTGTGCGGCGCCGGTGCTGAAGCCCATTCCGTCTTGGAGGATGATGGGGAGAAAGTACGCGATGGCGTATGCCCCCGTTGTGCTGCATCTGCTTGTTGTCAGATCTTAATATGAATAATGGCGTGAAGAGAACTGACAGGCAAATCAATGCGAAACCCCATATATTCAGGTCAAGCGCAGGGCTGAAGAATCGCTTGAACGTAAAAGGCTCTCCATTTCCATCGGCACGGTCTCGGTTGATGCGTCGGACGATGAATGCACTCTCCCTCTCATTCAGGAACTTCCAGGACTTGTGTGCCTTTTCGGGAAAGTCAACCATGAAGACAAAGGTCAACAGTCCGATAACGCCCGTAATCTAGGGAAATTAACACAATGTCTCCTTGTTCGGATTAAAAACATACCACGCCCTCCATTATGAATATCCATCTCCACCCTGATATGCCCTGAATACCTCCCATCTGCATCAGACCAAAGGCAAGTACACCGGCTAGTGCTGATGCCACACAACCGATAAGGTAAAAGACCGAGTATCGCTTTTGGATGTCATCTGTGTTGTCAGCCAAATTACATGAATGTTGGTCTGCGTAACTTACATCGGACGTACCAACTTGAAAGAAGGTACACACAGCCCGGGAAGTAACCTGCAAGAAGATATTTGAGCCAATTATACAAGGCAAAGAATTGTAACACCAAGTCACACTCACCTGCTTCCAACGCACCAAGGAGCACACGGATTGCGACCATTTGCTTCCAATTCTTCACGAATCCCATCCCCTAGAGCAGCAACTGTCAGGCTTCTAGTTTCGCAGGGGTTTAGAGAACAGAGTCAACGTACAACAAGTATTGCTCCCCACGATATGACCAGCGTTCCCAGAAACAAAGTCGGGCCTACTTTCCGGATGATGACCGTCATCGGAGGTTGAAAGACCACATAGGGTATGAAGAAAACGAGAATCACGACAGACTAGACCTCGTCAGAATATGCATCCTCAAATGACAGAGTAGAACTCACATAGCGAGTCCCAACTCCAAGCTGCAAGTCCTTCGTCATACTGGCCTCGAGTTAACGTCCGATCCAACACAACATAATTTACTCATCAACCAGATTCAAGAAACTTACCCAGCAACCGCCGCCATACTAAGATTTGTCCTATCCATAAGCGAAATGCAATACGCCAACCCAGCCATAGTCACCAGCCGACGATCAACCCGATGAATGATCTTGCGCTGCTCTGCAGGCGTAAACTCCTCATCATAGTCCACATCATTAATCCCAGACTTGTCGATATCCTCGATTCTCTCGACACTGGGTGGTTTCTCAATGTCCTTAGACGACATGGTGTCTCACTTCAGCTATAACAAACGGATTCCGAAATATATCAGATAGATTGAACCAAAAGAAACTCGAAGCAGGATGCAACCATATATCAATAAATACTCTCCCAACAACGCAACACAAATCGCCGCGCTTGCCCCCGCGATGCGTGGCAAGCCACATTTCTTACACACCAGCTCAGCTGATAGCATGCGGCATTTGCTCAGTAGTCACCGAACATCAGGAATACGAGTCTAGATTGGACCAACATCGACGCAATGATGTATAGCACCGCGCGTTCTCCACATTTTCCCCAGGTTTACGGATTGTAAAGGCCGATGCGGGGAGGAGCTATGATCGAATGCGGGGGAGTTAATTATCAGCCACTAGTTAAGGCTGCGAGTCAATTGGAGGGATCGTTTCCAGGGATATTTCTGGTGGACCTATCGAAGAGGTCGATCGGGTTGAGGTCTAAGTCGGGCCGGTTTAGGGCCGCTTGTAGCTTTCAGGGGGTCCCATCCGTAATCGCTAATGTCTACTTAAGGAGGAAGTAAGCCTTCAAAATATTTATTGAATAGAGACAATGGCCAATTGAGTCACCTACCAGTATACAGAGAGCATATTGTGTGCTAGTTCCGATCTAATTTATCTTCTCACGATGACACATAAATAGTACGGCCCACTCGACGGAATATTCTGGCCCGGTTGGCAAAGATATGTCTTATGCACACAGAACGGAGATGGAGTTCGAGAAAAGCCATCAAATAACAATACGAGCTAGGCAACCTTTCTATCCATTTTAACCGACCAGCCCTACAGTCTATTCCCTCTATTCCTGGAAGCATATGTCCCGGGCTTGCTCGGAACGTCTCCGAATGGCTAAGCGCAAACCTAAGTATCCCCGCCACCAGGCCGAGTTTCTTTGTTCTCTGGCTCCTTGCACTCCCGAACTTTGTCATATTTGCGTACGGGCTTCCACCTCGCGATGTCATTCGATGATATGCTCGGCCCGGTTACGCAACTCCCCGGGCCGAGCTTAAGTTTGACCTAATATCTAGGTTCCCAGCGGCCCGAATATAGAAATGCTAGCCCTCCGTGTACTTCTGGTATCAGGCTCATTTCGAAGACGTGGATTTTGTATGGCGTCCACCGGACCCATAGATCAGCTTCCAGAGCTATGTGTTGAGCATGGCTAGAGGTATACTTCTGAATCGGGGGATAATCGTACCTATGCATGACGCTTGAGCCGTATCAATGACCCGTAAATCCCAACGTGACGCATAATTTGCTTGGGGCTTTCGTGAAATGCCAATGCCTTCAACACTAGCATTAGCGGCTCCTACTTTGGGAGTGGCCTCGAAGGTCTTCAACACTTGGCGCTCGCGTTTCTCTCCAGTGAGGATTTGTGGTCCAAAAAATTCAGTGATTTCGAGACTTGAAGTGTTAGTCTGCCTCCTTCGACGCTCAGTCTCATAGAAGTTCATGGTAATGGTAGCTTGTGCAAGCTTGCAGTCGGCGGGTTGATGAAACGTGAGATCCAAATACATTAGGCCTGCAGCTTGCCCACGGAACTTACCCCACTGCGTCTTAGACATCAGAGAAAGAAGGCTTAATCCCAGAAACACGAGAAAGCAAGCACTAAACCTGACCAGCTAATGGAAGGGGAAAATTCAACTGCTCAGGTGGAGTTCATTAAGATCGAAGATCTCGGGGGTAAAAAAAAAAAAAAAAGAAATCTCAGGGTCCTAGAGTCGTTGACATATCAGATAGCTTAAGTCGGCGTGAAAATATCCTAGTGGAGGGAAACTGGATATGGTTGCCCGCAATTTAGGGCTCAGTGTGCAGCAGCAGTAGAATGAGAAGCGGGAAGAAGATAGCGGATTTGTATTGTATGACGAGAATCCAAGGACATGATTGCTATGATATTGCTACAACGTACTGCATTTGTGATGTTTGTCAATACTAAATATACTCGTGACAACCTGTTTCGAACTGATTTGTAAAGAGCTAATAATCTCATTATAGTAACCGAGATGACAAACGCTCGGTATAGAATTTTCATGTCATTTTACACTATGGGTTACAGTTCACGTACATACTGATATGTCGTGATAAACTATATTTCCTCTTTCATCAGTGCACTGATGTTATACTATGCTATCATAGCCACTCTGAATTCGGTCGTTGAAGAACGGTGGTGGGAAGGGAAAGTCATGCAGGGAACGATGTGATTCGCCTGGATAATGCCCATCCGTGTGGGCAGGTACCCGCGAACACGTAATTTTCATAAAGATACAAGTATACGCGGATCTTACCATACCAGAATAATATGCATCCCTCAATGACTTCGGAAAATATCAAATTATAGTTGAGTTTAGGAGACGCTCCAGGTGTCGAGATATGGGGAAGGGGAATACCCTCATAGTATACGATAACTCTTTAGGAGTAGGATAATTGTTGGTATCTCCTTGTATTCACAATACAGCAGGCAATCAGTATCAAACCATTACATCTTCGATACGAAATACCTCCCCACTTGCATGCAGCAGCAACTTGTACTACTATATAGGGCTACAGCTCCCCACTCGATAGAAGTCAAGGGCCCAAACTTCCTTCTCCTCTCTATGGAAAAGTCTCCAGTCCAAACCTCAATTGCCATCTCCATCATGCCCGCCAATGCGATCACCATCATCTTCTCACCCTACCACGTCGGCATCCGCGACCACCGAGTCGGCAACGGACCCCACCGCATTCGCCAACACGGCATCATCCAAGCCCTCGAAGGCCTAGGTATTGAAGTCAATTTGATCGAACTCGAACCGGTCGACAAATTCGAAGGCGAGATTGGTCGCAGCTTCGAGCTACTCCGACGCACGTCTACGGCCGTCACTCAAGCAGTTGAAAACAACACCTTCCCCATTATCCTCTCAGGCAACTGCATGGCAAGCGCAGCGGTAGCCTGCGGATTGAACACCAACAATCTAAAATTCATCTACTTCGATGCTCACGACGATCTAGATTCACCTGATGTCAACGAGAACGGCTATCTCGACGCGATGGGCCTTTCCATGCTCCGTGGCGAGAGCTGGAAGACTCTTATGAGGACGGTTCCTGGATTTAAACCTTTCACGTATGATGGCAACTTCCTGTACTGTGGACTACGGGATCAGAGTGATGTTCAACGTCAGCGGGTGATTGATGCAGGGATGAGTGCTATATGGGGTGCTAGCGACCGTAAGGTCGACTTTGTGGGTGAGTTGCGCAGGGAGTTGGACCTCAAGTCGTATGATCCGGCTTTGGTGCATTTAGATTTGGATGTGTTGGATGAGACTTATGGGAAGGTTAATGATTACCCTTCCCCCGGGGGATTGTTTGAGAGGGACTTGTTGAATTGTATGGATTTGGTGCCTACGAGGAGCACACCTAGGTCTCTTACTGTCTGTTCTTTTGATCCTGACGTGGGAGATGGCGATAGAATTGCAAAGATTGCTGTTCGCGCGGTGACTGCGTTCGTTCGGTCTTTGTTGGATACAGGGGTGATACTGAGACAGGATTTATAAGGGTATGAGTAGAGTTATGATTTGGAGGGAAGGAAGATTATACCAAATAGGGATAACTGTATTTAGTGTGGAACTGCGAGACCCATGAAGGGAATCCACGAAGGAATTGAAATATAAAGGCAATCAAGATTACTTTAAAGCTTCTGGAGTGGCAAACCTGAACCAATCAAAGTTTGGTATTGCCCCCTTTTATCCAGTTATGAGCACAGAAATACGGTTTGCGCAGACGGCATTATATATCAGAAAGACATTCACATGTACAATACACGCAGCAAGAAAACTGTGGATAAAGTAATGCGATCTTCAAAACAACACATCATTTTCAAACAAGTTTCGAGACGCATGCCACCCAATGCTCTCTTCTCCTGATTTATAATTTTCAAAAATAAACCAAAGAGGCCTCCTTGCAATGTCATAGATCGAATCCATGCTCCCAGTTGGTATCGGGAAAAGGACCCGACAAGAATGCATCATCACCTGCGGATAGAAAATCGTGGGTATTGAACAACTCCTGATCCAGCTGCAAGCTCCCCCCAAGTAAAGAGCTATTGTCTTCTGCAGCCTGAAATGCTAAGGGTAAGTCTAGTGGGTCCTGCAGCCATGCATCAAAGCCACCTGCAATCTCCGAATCATGATTTTGGCGTTCGTCTTGATACACAAGAGAGGATTCAACAGGCGACTGGTCCCTGTTCTTCGGAATATCATGGACCCTCCATTTCCGTGAAACCAGGCCAAGTGCCCGTACTGAACGCCTTGCCCATCCCCAGGCGATGCTCATTTGCTCCAAGTAATGAAGCGTCTCCAGGAAAAGCTGTCTAGATTTATCCCTCATTTGACGGTCTTTGGAGGTCATGTTGAAAAGATGGATGAATGCAGCGGTACGGGCAGGATCAACTACGGATATCGATACTTTTCTCTGTTAGTCAAGAGAGTTAGTACAAGATACGGTATGTGAGTATAAGCGATGAGAGGTGTGGTCATCACCAAGGTAAAGAACTTAGCGTAAGCCCTAAACAGAACTGTTACTTTTTCTGCGGCTTTTATGCATGTTTCCAAGCTTGTAGAGGCGGATTCATTAATGGAGCGACGGGAAGGGCCGTTATCGCTGGGTATAACGATGAAAGGTCGATGGAGCAGAATAACCAAGGTGTAAAAGTGCATGCTGAAAGAGAGTCAACAGGTTTTGACAGATTCTAGCATAGGTCATGGCACGTACTGGAAACAATACATATGCGGCGGCAAGGGTCTTGAAGAAGTTGGTGGCAGCCGAAGAACACTTGGCAAGTTGTTATAGAAAGCAGTTAATGCTATATCAGTCTTCGTCATTATGCTCTTCTTTTCGGTCAAGGAAACAAAATATTCAGGGGTATAACTATAGGCGAAAATAAGCAACTTAAATGAAGTAACCAAAAGATGGTCGTAACTTACATGTCATCTAGTGGACGAGCTGCTAATCGCAAAAGTTGACATGTATTGATGAAAGTAGTGATAGAGTACGATAGATATGAATGGCTAATTGAGGATGTCGAGTGTCCATTCCATTGGCCATATTCAACATCAGCTAAATTGGATGGAAAATCGACCTGAATATCGCGCTCAATAATGATACTTGGTCGACCAATGCCGACAGTAAATAATCTTGTCGGTTAGTATGCAGCGAAAAGGTTTTTAATCACAGATAAGTGAACTGCACGCTTACTTTTCAATCATGTAACAACCCCACCATGCGATTGACCGCAGCTCAGCTTCGTCAGGAGTCATGGATCCCGAAGAAACCCACAAATGTGGGTTTATATGTAGCCCTAGGTTATACGCCATTCGAATGGCAATCCCTGTGCGGGTAGTGAGCTATCACTTAAAGAGGCTATCAAGATTTTATTGGAAAGGTACACATACCGAGGTAAATCCAACCAGATGGTTCATTGTCCTTGGCCATTTCAAACAGAGATAGATGTGCGGCGGCCACAACTGTTGAAACTCGTGGGGCCTTGATTTCTTCGAACAGGAGAGCCTGTGCCTTTTGGGAGAAACCGTCACCTGCAGTACTCGAATCATTAGGGACAGTGCGGACTTTAGGATTATCAGAGTATCTCGCTGCCAAGGCTAGCATGGAGTGAAGAAGCAACGGGGTACAGTATCCATCATCCAATCGAGCTTCCAGACTCCTGAGAAACTCTTTTTGATAAACCAAATACTGCCAAGGATTCTGCCAATTCCAGTAAATATCGAGCAGTTCTTCTCGGATTTCGGGATCTACATCAATTGGCTGTAATGGCTGGTTTGGGTTTTGGCGAAAGGTAAAGGGATTTGCTCCCTGTCGTTCCATAAAGCTGAGATTGCTGCGCGAGCCAAAGTACCGCAGCTGGTCGCCTTCTCCAATGCTTAGGCCCCCAAGGACATCGGTGATATCATCAATAGGGTCTAGGGATTGAGACTGAGCCCCAGAAATATCTTTATTTCCCACTTTGCCATCCTGACTCTGCAACTGGTGCGTTGTTTTGCTAATTATATCTCTTTCTTGGGGCTGATATTCTGCTAATTGCGACTCCAAAAATTCTATACGAGCATTCAGAGCTTGTATGTGCTGCTTGGTTGGTGGCCTCATTCGTGTCAACGACCGACTAACAAGCAATGCGACCGATTAACATGCTTACTTGCGTTTCTCCTTATCATATTTATACTCGCAGTTTTCCGCGTAGCTCAAGCATCCAGCACAAGATGGTTTGGCACCATCACACTAACTCGATATCGGAACGTTAAGGCTCATAACTTTGGTACCATTCGACGATAATGAATTGCCAACGAGTCCGCTTACCTTGATTCGTTTCCTTCGGCAAACTTCACAAGCGACAGAAACCCTTCTACGGTATGTTTGTGGTTGGGGCATGATGATGATCTTCTAAAAAATGTATGTAACGAAAAGTGATGGTTAGTAATGTGCTAGCCAGTATCGGTAGCAAGCGGGCGCGACGGAATCTCTTTTTTCCTGACCAACGCGGTGCTCATCTTTATCTGGCTGTGGGATACCCGCTTTCCATCAGCAACCGTGGGTTTTCCTATTACCATGCAGAGTATGATATCCTACATAAACTGAATATCTTTATAGTTTGCAAACTGAGCATAGATCATTGAACAAGATGCCGCAATATTTTCTCCGTCAGCCCACAATAAATCGGAGTTAGTAGTATCATGTCAGATTGATTGTAGTGGTCAGAGCGTTGAAATAAGATATTCATTTTCAATGAGTAGACACACACTATCTCCAATTCCTACCCAAATTGAGCCCCCAACTTATTGATCTCTTTTACCATGATCGGCTGCATTAGACAATCATCATACACAAGCTCTTCTGCTGTCGGACGTTCTTCCGGAAGCCATCGAAATATCCTGCGCAAGAAGTTTAGAAAAAGAACCTTGTCCTCCCCAGAAAAATGCAGCTCTCTGAGCCCAAAAGTCTGCTCTGGTATACATAGAGAGCCTTTCCAATTGCCTAAGTCTACTGTTATCAAGCACATCCATGATAGTTCATCAATAAGAAGACATACCTTCTGCGTCCCAGAATCTTTCGCATTGGTTACTCCTCATTAGGAATTCTGGCGGTGGAGGGCCCATTAGAGATACCATCTCAGCCAGATGTTGCTCATCGCTGAGAGTTCCGTTTTCTTTGGCAAAGAAAAGATGATGGCCCTCTGCAAGATCCCAAACCTTTTCTATACATCAGCTAGGGCTGCTTACTCCGGTTTTCTTAGTGTCATATATAGCACATACCATGTTGCCAATTGACCAAATATCAACCTTGTAATCCCATTCCATTCCTAAGATGACTTCTGGCGCGCGATAAATCCCCGGCATAATATCACCATAGTACTTTTCTTTTCCGAATCTAGCTTCACCTAGATCGGAGACCACAGGAAGACCTGAACAGACAGGCATGGGGCGGGAGTAGTGAATATTCCGATCGCTCAGAACCTTTCGGGCAATCGGCCGTTTTAATTCATCTTCCTCCATCTTGGATAATATAGAGCTATCTCTCACCCCTTGAAGTATATTGTTCGGTGAAATATCTGCAATCATCAGCTCACGTTGTCTACAGTTATCATCCAGCCGCTTATTATTGTGGCCTTACCGGTATGGGTAACACCGCTCTCATGCATAGAAGACAATGCTACTAATATAAGCTGGGTGCTTCTTTGGATGAGGTCCTTCGAGAACCTTTGATCGGGAAGCAAATCTTGAAACTCAGTGAAACTCATTCCAAGAGGCTGGTATATCAGGCAGACAAACAATCTCCCTTCTGGTCCAACAACATCAAAGGAGTCAAGGACCATGCGGAGCATCCTTTTTCTGCCTTCACTAACGGATTGCTCCAAATGTTTCGAGATAGCAATTTCTCGATCAGAGCTTTCACCCTTTGCACACATTTTGAAGGTATAGTGATTCCCCTCCCTATAACCAATTAAAAACATGATTATGCACTCATTTCAGGAATACGTTACCGAAGATCCCGGCAAAGCCAAACAGTAGAGGAAGTGCCATATCCCAGCTTTGAAACCACTTGGTATCTGGAACCGAAAACTTCGCCAATGAAAACGGGATAGTAATTCTCCGGTTTATATAATGGTAAGGTCTCTTCCTCAATCTTATCTAGGGGATCTAAGGTTACATAGCCCGAAGTAGGGAACTGTCTTGGAGGAAGCCCTTGTGAAGTCACTGTTCTCATGAGAGAAAAAGGGAAACGAGATATACAAGCTTGTGACGCATGACTCAAGCATGGCAATAAATTCCTGAGATTACAACGCAGTTTCAACATGATTTGGGGTTTGAGGTTCAGGATTGCAAAAAGAGATGGGTTGTCTCTCTCTCGACTTCGAAGACAGGGGGCGGCGACTGCTGCAGCATTCCGTCTTTGTTTGCCCCCGACCCAGCATCAACTGCAGCAGGGCGGTAAGCATGTTTACTTATGCAAGGAATTCGGACAACCTACTATCGATAGTCATTCTGTTTCTATAGTGATTGCTACTCTCCAGGCATCCTTAATCTTCCCAAGTCTCTATAAGCTTAGATTTCCCTTAGTATCCGAAGTGCAACACGAATAATGAATATTTCTTGTACACATTATGATACGATGGTTCATGTTATGTATGCCAAATCAATCTCAGCACAAGTAGTCAGTCTAGGCACGAATCATATTTATGTTTCAGCCCCCTTGAGTTATAGCTTTGATGAATTGTTAAACTTCAACTTTCTTTCTGCTAGCATTGGGCAGCCCCGCAACGTTGACCTTTTTGATAGGTCACCACTAACACAAGTAGAGTGAGCCAATCCAGGAGATTCGTGACCACATTCTGCACCAAATCCGAGGCATCCTTTCCGAGGCTCCTCGGCAGGTGGGTTCAGAATCGTCTTCATGAATATCATGCGCATAATAATATGTTGGGACACATGTCTCTCCGTGGCGTGGCTGACTAGCCGCGATATACCGTTCTAGATCTAGGGGTAAGTGCTTCGTCATGTTACTAGGTGGTTTTGTTGCAGTCAATATACACAGGAAAATATTTCTATCTATGGTCGACCTCAACAGCACGGACCACAACCATCAGACTACTCAGATGGCGAGGCATTTATCCTTCTCTATGTTCTTCGCCTATGGGAAGGAAACCAAGATTTTCAGAATGTAATAACTGGATGCACCAGTTACGGAGACTGTCCGGATGATGCAGAGTGGCCATAATCAAGACCCTCTACGTTTTTTTGAAGACAACTACGACGAAAATGGCCAATAAAGCAATCTAAGTAGCCTTCAACATTGTAGATCAGGTATTCAGTTCCGCTACTTTATCATGACGATGCAGCAAAATTCGACAGAAAAGAGCAAAACATATGACATACATTAAGCCCTTATCTACATAGCTGGACGAGTCCTGTTCGCCAAACGCGGGAAGAGTTTCCAGGCATTTTTGAAATTGATCATGTCCCGCAACTCCTGATCCATCTCATAGTTTTCCAGCTCCTCCAAAAACACTGGGTATGCCGTGATTGGCGCATAAGGGAAATCGCTTCCATACAAGATGTGGTCGTGTGGAACCATCCTCAACAGCATATCCAGAACCTGCGGCGACGAACTCAACGCCAGATCAAAGTAGAAGCTGCGGAATGCTTCCATCGCCTTGTCGTGGGTTGTTCCTATGCGGTATGAGACTGCAACGTCTGGTGCTCTCTTCATGGGTGTCGTGACCCGGGAGATGAGATACGGCAAGGCCCCGCCTGCGTGGGACAGGATGACTTTACAGTTCGGATACTTCTGTCTGGTTCCGCTGGTGATCATGTCCATTGCTATGCGAGTCGTCTCGTGAGGATAGTCGATAGCCGGCTGGGGTAGCTTCGGGTTGACGGGGTGAATATCGACAGGATGGGTGGGATGGACGAAGACGACACAGCCTCGTCTGTTGAGTTCTGCCCAGATGGGTTCAACGTCTTTGTGGCCGAGATAGGTGTTGGAAGGACCATAGCGTGTGAACAGAGTGACACCATCAGCATGCAGGGTGTCTAGTCCATAAGCAATTTCTGCGAGCGCGTCCTCGGTATCCAGTATATCGGGCAGAGATACGAAAAAAGCGAAGTTGTCAGGGTTTTTATCCCGCAGGTCTGCCGCGTATTCATTCATTCTTCGGGCCAGTTGAGCGCGTGATTGACGCTCTGGGGCAATGCATGCCCCTGGAGCTGTCACCGAAAGCACCGCAGTCTTCACACCAATTCGCTTCATCAGCAGTTTAGATGCTATAGCGTTCCAGCTGGGAGTGGGCCAGCCACTAGGGTCGCCCCCTTGTTCTTCCACAGCTGTAATTAAATTAGCTGAGAGGTATCATGAACCCTGAGCGAGTGACCATTACCCCGTGCATAGAAAGGTGGAACGAAATGATGGTGAGTATCAATCTTGTTCACTGGCGGCGTATGGCTCCATCCAACGGCTTTGTCCCGGAGCCAGTCGAGAACGTGCTCACCCATGATGCAACAGAAGCTAGGCTGGAAGAAAATTATGGTCAGAATGAGTATGACAAGAGTCAAAGTAGAAGACATCGGGGGCAATCGTTCCACGAAACAGTTTACGCTCCCGCTACTTTAATAAAGGACCCATGTGGGAACCGGGACGGACCCGGAGGCGCGTCGCCACATCGGGTTCTTTCCGAACTGCAACATCACAGTGCCGGATCTTCGTAGTAGAAGCCGGATTGTCGACAGGATAAAGATGGACGGAGCAGCAAACTTGGTTAATGAAATTTGGAGTAGATGAGTCTTTCATAAATCCAGGAATCTGATATCCCTACGCTCGGTTGACCCACCTACGCACGGCACCATGAGCAATTCAATCCATGCCCAGATCTCCGGGCTTGCCAAAGAAAATCCACTCTCGGCAACTCTCGTGACTATAGCAGCTTTTCAAGCAACAATATTCCTCGTCATTCGAGAGATTTTTACTCCGGTTGGGAAACGCAGACCTCCCCATGGAAAGAGATGGAAGCTCCCTCCTGGCCCTAAAGGAATACCGATATTCGGAAGCCTGTTAGACGTTCGCAAGATTCGTGATGACCAAGATCACATAATAGTGTGTGGGATTCCCGATGATTATTATTTATGGAGAACTGATTGAACATAGAACAATGAACTTGCGAAATATGGCGAGATGACTACTCTGCACCTCGGATCAAAAACGTGGATTTTGCTCAATAGCAAGCGCGTGGTCTCGGAAATTATCGCAAAACGCGGTACGCTCACAAACGGCCGAAGCCCTATGCCCGTTGCCAGTGGTATTGTTAGCCGCAACGGGCGCTCTCTTCTGCTTCCTCCCTCAGGATGGACCGAGAAGCGACGAGTAATGCACTCGCTGCTCAGTGGCACCGCGTTAAAGCAGTATGCATCATGGCAGGAACTGGAAAGTACCCAACTGCTTGCTGAATATCTGTTCCAACCGGAGAGATGGTACCGTCATCACTATCGGTATGCAAACTCTGTGGTCCACCGCATTGCGCTCGGGGAGCGGCTGGTAAAATCAGGTAAAGAGCTTGAGGACCTACAAAACGTTGTTACCTATTTCGTGGGCAGCATCGGATCCAGCCTGATTGACTGGTTTCCCGAACTTGATCGTCTCCCTCGCGTTTTGCAGCCATGGAGGAAGCACTGGGAGAAGCTCGGTGATTGGAACGAGGAGGTCTACAAATCATGGTGGATTCCAGTTAGAGAGCAGGTAGAGCAAGGGACAGCGCCCCCATCATGGGTTCGCGACGTTCTTTTGCATCCGGACACCAAGTTTACTGGGGACGACCAGGAGGCCATGTATGTTGCTCTGCAGCTTCTGGAGGCTGGATCCGACACGACCCGAGAAGTATTGAACATTTTCGCTATGGCAGCTCTTTGCTATCCGAAGACTTTCCAAAAGGCCAGGGAAGAGGTCGACCGATTGTGTTGCACTGATGGGAGTCTCCGTCTGCCAGGGATCGACGACCTTGAGCAAATGCCCTACATCTGCGCTATGATCAAGGAACTCCTGCGGTGGAGACCCATTTTCATTCTGACACCTGATCACGTGCTTACCTCTGACATGGAATTTGAGGGCTATCACTTTCCGGCAGGCGTTGGCTTCGTTATCAACGAGGTTCCAGTATGCAACGAATGTGAGGATTCAGAGGAGTTCAAGCCTGAGCGGTGGCTCGATGGACATGAAACTGACGCTGCACATGGCTTGTGGCAGTTTGGCGGAGGCCGCCGGATCTGCGTTGGTTACAGGCTTGCTTTCAGAGGACTGTTCATCAATGTGGCACGCCTAGTATTCTGTTACGATTATGCAGCAGTAAGTTATCTAAAAGGTCTTGACGAGGAAGCAATAATAATTCTGACATTTGGTAGGCGGGACCATATAACCCAAAACGACTTAATCACCACAAAACCGATGAACCGTTTCCGGTAAAGGTAACCCCAAGAAGCGAGGACCATGTTAAATTGATCTTGCGGGAAGGAGAATCACTGCAGGTTTTGGAGGACGCCAAACGTCGAGTATAGAAACCTAAAGCTAGCAGAGATAAGATCAAAACTGCATTAAAACGTATGATGGCCATTTTAATCCTTTAAGCAAGCTATAACGAAGTCTTTAATGGCCCTTGTAGTTGCACTAGGCGGCCTTCTAGCCCCAAAGTCCATAAGCGGTCCATCGTGGGTTTCATTACTCATGTGCAAGGCCACGTTTCCCTTACATTTTGTTTTCAAGACCTTGCCTAACAGTCGAATATGATCGCTGAACACCTCTTCGCAGCCGCCGGTCACAAGAATATGATCCACAGCCGTGAAACCGTCCCACCAGCTATCCGGAACATCCAGGGCCATTCCCCAGCCATATCCAGCAAATATCTCCTCGTGCCACGGAGAATCATCGACAAAATAACGTCCCCATTCGTCTACATTTTTGCGAGACATCCGCACTGAACCACCTTTGGTAGGAAGGTGTACTGAAGTCAAACGATGCTAGCGGCGACACAAGAAAACATCCTTTCACAGGGCCCTGTATGTGAATGACATCCTTTGCCCCCTCCTTGGCTTGATAGTGGCAGTGGAGATGCGACATGAGGGAAAGCGACAGGTGGCCTCCAGCAGAGTCTCCTCCGAAGACGATCTGTGCGAGCTCAGATTAGCTCTTTGGTCCAAGAAGACCGACCTGCAAGCCAACCTACATCAGAAGGTCTATACCCGGAAATAAGTAGACGCTGTAATGCCGATATTGCCTGTTTCATCTGTCTGGGATATTTGCTGGTCGGTATCAAGTCTAGATTGTCAGCACGTACGTAACATCATTTTTGATATTCATCACGGACCATATTCCAGAATGCACACACTCATATCCACCCCAGCGTTGACTGCTTCGGCTCGTAGATACGCCATCCAGTCCAAGTGCGCTTCAGAAAGTGGCATCACATATCCGCCACCTAGTCAACACTCAGCAATCATGTGTAGAGAGGGCGGAGTTGGGGATAGAATAGCATACCGTGGAAGAAAAGAAGTACCTTCTTTGATACACTTGGCCCTATCCAAAGCAGACGAGTGGCATTGTCCGCTGCTAAGACATCCACCGCACGGCTAACCCCATGAGACTGAACCCATGCTTCATATGTCTCTAGCGTAGATGGAAGCACTGCCTGCAACTGATCTGGGGGTGTGTTGGTCATGAGGGCGCCAGCAAACCCATTCCACATGGACGACCCTAATGGCAACTTTTTCAAGCACGCACGAACAACAGCCGCCGGAATTCTTATAGCGGCCCGTGGCAGGACACAGAGCACGAGGGTAAAAAAGAAGCGTACTTTTGCCAGATTGCGTGTCATTTTACTTAGAACTTTTGTCTATCACTGTAAATCTTTGAGTTTGAACATGTGTAAAAGTAACAGAGAAAAGGTATTTTCTACGCGTTCGGGGGTTTCATATAACCCCATCATATCCCACCCAACTCTGCTAGAACATACGAGAGATTCGGAAGCGTATCCATTTTAGCAAGCGCATGTCTGGAACAGACCCGAAAAACCAGCGGAATGCAGCCGTTCCTAAGAACTGACGATCTTGGCTACCGTAACTGCTATTGGCCTCCGCAAAGCCCCCACCCACAAATGGCACCGGAACACTCCCGGCTGCATGAACAAGTCACGACTCTTCACATCCCCAAGTTGGAACTTGCAACTTGGTGATTGTGTCTTCCTAGGGACCCGAACTGTTGAAGTGATTTTGCTGATAAGGCCTGCCCAGGACCTGCTCCACAGCACCGGGTGTCCCCCGTATTCACAAAATGCCCCCGAAAGCATCGGGTGACCCAAAGCGACGGAATGGCGCACGCCGCAAGGTTGCTCTGGCATGCGACTCGTGTAGAGAAAAGAAGGTTCGCTGCGACGGGAACAAGCCCATCTGTGGGCCATGCAAGAGGCGATGTTATCGGATTGACCAGTGTCTCTACAACCCGGATAACGCCCGGACGGCCAGCCGAGACGAGTAAGTTTGATGAGGAGTTCATCCAACACCCGGGAACGTGAGCACAATGCATGAAGGGCTAAGGCAAAGCAGGTACTTCCAGACCCTTCATCTCCGAATTAGAGAACTCGAAAATGCCTGTTTGACGGCCGGGGTATCCATCGACAGTTCACTGGGCATTCGGGCTCAACGGGAACCTCATAGCGAGCTCAACAGAGGCGATGAAATACCAGTGGAGACGAGCAGCATTCCCATGGCTGTCCCCACCTCACTTGGGGAACCCGATGAGCGGGTCCTTACCTCTACAGGTTTTGGGGTTGCCATACCTGCGGAGCAACCGGTACTAGCTGCACGCAGTGAAAGCGAAAATAGCCGGTCCAGACTGGTAGTGGAACAGACTACAGAAGGCACACCAAATGTAGGATCCTATGAGTCGCCGTTGTTCGACGATGGGGAAGCCCACGTCACGGGCATGGGGCAGATCACAGCTCCGGATGCTGAAAGCAGGAGGCAGTCCTCCCGATTCCAATTTTATGGTAGTTCATCCACTGCTTCGCTCATGAGGTTTGCCTGGCAGTCAATGCCTTCACGGCCAGCAAATACTTCTAGTGCCGAACTTGTATCTAGCACATTGCAGGATACATTCACCGAGTATCGGTTCGACGATTTTGCCCTCCCACCGCGCACGCTGGCAGACCACCTCGTCCGATGCTTTTTCGATCATGTATATACCCTATATCCGTTCTTTCACCGCCCCGCGTTTGAAGCAGCCTATCGAAATCTCTGGCGTGCTGAAGATGAGGCTAAGATACCTCTCACAGACTTGAGAATTGGACTGGGTTCCGGCGCGGAGTCCGGCCCTAGATCAATAGTCTTTCATGCTGCCTTGAATTCTATTTTTGCTCTAGGCTGTCAATTTTCAGACATTGAAGACGTCGAGTCTATTGCGAATTGCTTTTTTCTCAGGTCCAAACGCTTCATCGGACTTGACTTTCTTGATATTAACACCCTTGGGGTAGTTCAGACTCTATTGATAACAGCGCTATTTCTGCAGAGTTCCCCCTATCCCAGCAGATGCTGGCATTCGGTTGGTGTTGCCTGCCGGGTTGCTCTAGGATTGGGACTCCATGAGTCGGATATTCTCGCTAGCTTATCGCCCTTGGAATCCGATATTCGACGCAGAACGTGGCACGACTGTGTGATGATGGATGTGTAAGCCCTGCCACTTTTAGCGGTCCTATGTTAGATCTTGCTGATCCATACTACAGCACTCTTAGCATGACGCATGGCCGACCTACCATGACCACCCATCTAGCTCCTCTCCCCCCACCAGAAGATTCGGAGATGTCTCGACAAGATCCGCCGGGAGAGCCGTCACTGCTGTCATATTATACTGAAGTCATCAAGCTCTACAGCATCCTAGACAGGATCCTATCCGATGTATATCACGCTTGGTGTGGTCGGACACGCCAGGGTCGACCACAGGCGTCGACGAAAAGCCTGGGAGGCTTGGACACAATTCTTGAAATTGAAAAAGAATTGACTTTGTTCGAGGCTAATTTGCTTTCATGCCTTAAGTGGGATCCGGACACGCCGGAACTAAATTCAGACGGAGACCTGAACCAGGCAATCGCCCAGCAAAGAAATGTTCTTCACGCGAGGTGCACCTCTCAAGTCTTATTTCTATTTAGGTAGATATCTCTGACCTAGATATATAGATACTTGCATCTCCACCTCCTGCTCCATCGTCCGATGTTTACTCGGCTCTACTCAGAACGAGTACGCAAGCGAGAATCTGCAGGTGTGACTGGCTTCAGGGAAGATTCGGCTCACAATTCCACAACCCGGAGCCCGTTATACTTCTCTACAGCTAATAAATCTGCTATCGCTTGCGTAATGGCAGCTATTGACTTAACGCACGTAGTCCATGAGACGTACCATACAAACGCCACCGATGCATGGTGGTACAACGGGTTCTGTATGACGCCCTCGCTTGCCATTTAATATCTACCTTCCCATCAGTACTGATTTCCCGAGTTTAGATGTGTCAACAGCCGCCATAGTTCTCCTCATGTCCTTCTCCTCCCCATCAATGCTAGACCTTTCTACTATGGATAAAGCCAGGGTTGCCTGGAGAGAAGCTACGGGTGTTCTGGAGTCGATGGCCACGGTTAGACGCTCAGCGAACAACACGCTTCAGTTCCTCAAAGCTTTGTATCGGCAAGCAGTTCCCGCAGATGTGCAACATACAGGCGATCTAGCTGCTGGTACTGCTTCGCTACATTCAAATAACATGGCTCAACCTCACACCCCGTTTGATCACCCGGATCACGACTTGACTCAGGCTCCATTCTTTAATTGGGAGGAATATGCCGGAAGTATGGGACAAAGCCTGGATGATTTGGGATTCTTGACGAGGCTTGACTTCCCCGATACTTTACCTTGACTCTCAAGGGCTTGCGTGAGCTTCTGTCAAGTGATTATGTAGACATATGGATCGATTTATCCCTGGATGTGGCTGACAAATGAATTCTGCGGAAGGCAGTATGCAGTTGCAGTTCATCTTCCTTTGAGGACTTTGAATTCTGCTGTGTTGGGGTGGACTTCCTGAATAGTATGGAGCAGAACATCAGTAGTCCTCGAGTAATGAATAAAGTAAGATGTGTAGTCGCCGGACCCATCTGTTGCAGCACTATGACCTCCAATCAACACAAGCGGAGCATCTCCGGCACGAACATGCATCACTGGCTACTACTGGAAATGATCATCTACCCCAAACCCCCCTGATCCGGGTCTGACCCGAAGCATGATTAGACTGGTGGAGGCCTCTGACACACGACTAATTCAGTACTAGCAAACCCCACACGCCGCACTCCTCGATTCTTTCCCATTTCCAAGGATGTCTCCGCAATCTATATTGCACATGTCATATTCTACCTCGGATTATTCTATGCCTGCGGGTCAGTTCCGGGTAAAACTGGACCCCATCTAGCGCGCTTGTTCTCAAAGGATTCATACTTAAATCTACGCATTATTAAGACGAGAACAACCGAGAAACACATGCATAGACTAAACCATACACCTTTCTCAACATGACAGCGAAGACCCCCGATATTCCGTCCTATAGCCAGATAGCCTGTGTTGGTGCCGGCCTGTCGGCTGTGGCTCTGGGAGCAACGCTGAAGCGATGGTACAACCTTGAAGACATCCATTTCTTCGAACGACATCCTACGAGCGGTGGAACGTGGTACATCAACACATATCCAGGTTCTTTCACCCATTATTGCCGTTTCTTTTCATTATTTTAACTGCCCGAATGCAGGATGCGGCTGCGATGTCCCTAGCGCATTGTACAGCTTTTCCTTTGCTCTGAACCCAAACTGGACTAGGCTTATGCCTTCGAACACGGAGCACAAAGAGTATGTTGACAACGTGGTTGACACATACAATCTTCGTCGAGCGATGACCTTTGGCACGGAAGTAGTCCGTAGTGTGTGGCGGAAAGACGTAAATCGCTGGACTCTATACCTACGTGAACTGGAAACGGGACTCGAATATACGCACGAGTGCCAGATCCTCTTTGCAGCAACTGGACAGCTTGTCGAGCCGCGACCATGTGATATCCCCGGTGCTGCAGACTTCGGCGGGATTATATTCCATTCGGCGCGATGGGATCATAGCGTGGATCTCGAAGGGAAGAATGTCATTGTTATTGGCAATGGCTGTATGCAATTTCTGTTCATTTCTCATCGCCACCGAAGAGGCAGACTGATCGTCCTTTAGGCACTGCTGCCCAGATTGTCCCAGCTTTGGTCAACGAGGGAAAGATCAAATCCCTCACACAGATCGTTCGAACGAAGCACTGGATCTTTCCGGCTCCAAACTTCTCCTATCCTCGGATTCTGCAATGGATCTTCCGCTACGTTCCTTTGGCCATGAAGCTGCACCGATTTCACATCTTCTTGCTCGCTGAAAATGACTTTCGCTTGTTTCCAATGACGAAGGGAGCAGCCAGACTTCGAGAGAAACGGCGAATCAAAGTAGAGAAATACATGCGAGAGGCAGGTCCAAAGAAATACCACGATCTCCTGATTCCGGACTTTGATGTAGGATGCAAAGTACGGCCTCCCTTGTTTGATATTCCTTCTATACTTGGGTTCCCGAAGCATCGAAAAATTATGCTAACTTCATGAACTGGAAAGAGACGAATCTTCGACCCTGGCTACCTCGAAAGCCTACATAGTGACAAAGTCCTACTAACCGACGCGAAGATTGATAGAATCACCGCAGAAGGTCTTGAGACTGACAAAGGCTTCATTCAGGCGGACGTGATTGTTCTCGCGACAGGCTTCAGGACTAACAAATTCATTCCATACATGGATGTGGTCGGGCGAAACGGCGAGAGTGTGTCACAGCACTGGACGAAGTACGACGGCCCAGCTGCCTACAACTGCTCGGTTCTTAGTGGCTTTCCCAACTTTTTCATGCTCCTCGGACCTAATGCTGCAACCGGACACACATCAGCTATGATGGCCGCTGAGAAGTATATTCAACATCTCAACCCTCACCTCTTCCTGTCCCCTTTGCTTCGCATCTAATCATAAATACTAGCTCGATTAACTACGCTCTTCGCGTTCTAAAGTCCGTTCTGGACGGTGATGCCTCGTCAGTAGAGCTAAAGCCCAAGGCCGAGCACGACTACGTCTACTGGGTGCAAGACGCATTGAATAAACGCGTTTGGAACGCGGGTTGCGTTTCAGTAAGTGGGATATGCATTGCAGTTAACCTCATAACCATCTAATTGAAGTTGCAGTGGTACCTCAATGACAAGAGATGGAACTCCATGTCTTATCCGTGGACCCAAGGTCACTACTGGTGGAGGAGTCTGTTTCCCACATGGTCCGATTGGCATATTAAGGTAGGTTGGGTCGTTGTTTTCTTTCCTTCCACTCTTATTCGATTTAATCGGATTAAACAAACACATGTCATATCATTAACTGTCAGCAGAAGACTATAAAGCCATCGGGACGTAAATTCTCCAAGGCTTTATTCCTTGCTCTTTGTATTGGGTTCTTAGGGGTCGCTCATCTTGGTTACATTGGAAAACTGTCTCCCGAAATTGTCAAAACCTACTTGGCCAGTGTACGATCAAGTATATTGGCCAAGTAACCTCACAGAAATAATGTGAGAAGAATGGGGCAGTGATTGGTTTAACATATTTGTTGATGCAGTTTGCCTGGTTTTGGTGTCCACTGAGCTGTTCATAATATTGTGTCTGTCCACGGCAACAATTTTTGTTTCCCAGTATATACCAGCGTAATATCAAAGAATGTTATTTATGAGTTCATCAACTTGATAGATCATCTATACTTCGTTATTATAGTCTCTGGCGCCTCGAAGTTTCTACAGAGTGGGAATTCAGTACCCAGAAGACTGCCAGCGTTCTACCACAAAGAGGAAAATTAGACGAGGTACCGTATGGAAGGTCCTCCTTGCTCTCATCGACACTGATAATGTGGAATTCTAACAGAGGGTTCCGCGTCAACCGTGAGGATTTACCTGATTCACTTGTTTGTGACTAGGAGAGTCTTCGGAAAACCTGCGCAGCATCCTCGTACCGTGAGAGCGCATATTATGAAGTTTATACATTTTACATATGCAGTTTACCATCGGCTGAGGAAATGTAACAACCGTTCCGTCTCATTGAGCAGATGGGGAGGCGGCTATGATATATACTGTCGAGATACCCCAGGCTTCGTAGAGATAGATCTCCGGCACCGTTCCGAAGCTTCATATGACATAGGGTCGCAACGATGACATATGTCTGTACGCGTCCGCATCACACCTATCGCTCTGTCTCTTAGTTTAATCATTCCATTCGGAAGGCCTCGGTTCATTGTGGGGTACGGGCAATCGCCAGGAAGATGGATCCCCTCGGGTCCATCCCGGAACAGTCATGAACCTGGAGGCTTCCCGGACACGCGGGGTAAGAAAAACAGTCTACCTAGTTAGTATTTCCCCAACCCCATGCCTCATAAGGCTGTATAGGTCTACATGTGGATTAACAGATTCAGCCGTCAGTGTTAGTTCTTTTCTCTTTCACCCTCGAGAAGCGTATGACAATGGCTAAAACCGGCTTCCTTCCCCGCGAAGGTCTCTACATCGATCCGATAATAGCAGGGTTACGGAAAACGATCTTTCATCCATTTACCACATTGCTGTTGCAATTCCTGGCGCCAAAACTCGCTTTCCTTGTCCCATACCAGCAACTGATTCATATTACCGCAACCACCAGTGTCCTCCTGTGGTTCAACGATTGGTTAACTTCCAAGAGCTTGAACAATTGGGTTACGGATCATACTTGGGACTGGAACAAGGAGCTGGTTGTGGTTACGGGGGGAAGCGGTGGTATTGGAGCGGGGGTCGCTCAGCGTCTGGCTGCACTGGGCGCACGCGTTGTTGTGTTGGACATCATCCCATTGACATACAATTCAGGTTTGTACTCTGAATAACATTTCGTTTGCAGCCCTTATTCGCACAAGCACTCTTTCTAATAAAATCCTAACGCAGAGAACAAACAAATCCTGTATCAGAAATGCGACCTGAGTGATGAGAAAGAGATCGCAAGTGTTTGCGAAAAGATCAGAGCGGAAATTGGTGATCCATCGGTCCTAGGTAAGTGAAGTAAAGGAGCAACTCCCTTCAGAAACTGCCTATTTGACTGACAATCTGGTAACAGTGAACAATGCTGGTCTGTCACGCGGGCGTACAGTAGTCGAGGGTACCTACAGCGACAACAGCATAACCCTAAAAACCAACTTACTGGCACCATTTCTCCTGTCGAAGGAGTTCTTACCGGCTATGATCCGACGAAACCATGGACATATTTTCAATGTGGCCTCGATGAGCGCTTATATCCCGCCTCCGGGGCTTGCTGATTACGCGGCATCAAAAGCTGGATTGATTGCATTTCATGAGGTAGATATACTAGGCCACTGTTCTCTGCTTGTTTCTTGGGTCTACAACATGCTTATTTGAGTTAGTGTCTTGCCCAAGAGCTTCGAGTCCAGAATGCATCGAAGGTCCGCACCTCGGTTGCCGTGCTGAGCTTCACAAAAACACCGCTTTTTAAAGGCGAGACGAACCAGTCCAAATTTCTGATGCCGCTTCTTCATGTCGACACGGTTGTAGATGCCATTGTGGATATACTCGACAGTGGATTGAGCCAGACAGTCTACCTCCCAGGAATCTTTCGTTATTTTGCTGGCTTGGTGAGTTAAATCGACATCTTTCACTTACTATGGGATAATGACTGAAGTTATGTAGCGAGGAGCCCCGGACTGGGTTCAGCAGCTGATTCGAAGCGGTACCAAGTCCTTGAGAGTGGATTTCAAAGGCAGGCAGGAGATTGATCCACAGACTGGAAGGCTTGTTCAGTAATCTGGTAAGGGACCTGGGCTTAGATCCTGTTATATCCTGGTGAATAAGCAATCCCGTCGAATCGAATACACTAGCTAACTTGCCTTTATGGCATGGCATGTTTGCAGTTAGTGAGAATAGTCTTGCTTCCTGATATTTATCTCTTTTCAACAGATTCGGTCACATGGATACTGCTCTTGAAGGCGTTAATGTCTAATTATATATTTCCTACTTAGGTGTGATGATGACATTAACAGCCTAAGGGAATATATTCAAGTGGATATATTTAACATCGCTCTGATCAGAATACTGACCAAGGGAATTGCTTTAATGGCTGAGTTTGAAACGATCATTGGAGACGCTTCAGGATTAGCTGTAAGGTATACCACGGAAATGTTTTCAGGTAGGTTTCAATGGCGGATACTGAAAACTTACCGTATCGTTTCGTAATCCGAGGATAAATCACATCTTGTAGTTAACCTAAACCTTCTTGTATTGGCGACAGATACGGCATCATGGTTGAGTTGACCATATTTTGAATTTTGTAGGTAAAGAAGGTAACTATATTATATCTACATATGAGTTCTTATTTTGTAGCCTGGTGAGTAAGTGGACTTGTGTAGTGTCCTCCATTCCGATCAGTTCCGAGAATATATTTGGATTAGCAGTCCGCAACGCGCCGAGCCAATATAATTAAACTTCAGAGTGCGTATAATCTGGCAACTTCTGTTTTGGAGTTTAAGCGGAGATTGAACCGCTGGCAACTTCTCAAAGGCAAGGACATGTGTCACCCGCGACCTTCGAGGGTGCATCCCACCCTTCTGACCATGGGCAGAGACTTCCAACCTAACCAGCTGCCCGGTAATTCCTGAGCAATGTCCACCTTCCCTCCTTACCGCACGGTGCGCTTTCTTGATGCGGATCGGCCCTCAATCTAGCATTGGATCATCAAACTCTATTTTCTTCAAGCTCGTGCGTCGTGTTTGAGTTTTTGGCTTGTCGGCTGCAAGGATGACCAAAGTCTTTCATACATTCATGCACCCTGGTTGTTAAGGAAGTCAAAAGCCTCTCCTACGTAGTTGCAGGAATCTGCACGCATACCCAAGAACGCGGAATCCCAGAGAAGGCTAATGAATTGCATGTGTGAATACCACGGCCGTCCAGAACCGTAAGGGACTGTGCCACTTCAGGACTCGGTGAGATAGAATCTTTCGATCTACGGGGATGTATGCTCGTCCATATGATGCAATCCACACAATACACCTCACTGAAGCGGCGTGGCCGCTAGTAGGGGCGTCGAGCTGCGCTTACTGTGGTATTGAAAGAGATAAATAGAGGAATGTTGGACGCATAGAAAGTACACATCATTCAACAACACAGGACATTCCCCCTTCCGCTCCCCTCTCCTCTCTAATTGTTACATTCCAATTCCATTAAATTCAAAATGACTATCACCAGCCCAACTCCGACTAGCTTCCGGCGCATCAGTGCCAAAGCCCCGGTGGAGGAGATCCTGAAGATGTTCCGTGAGGATGGTGGGCTCGTGGTGGAAGGCTTCTTCACCCAGGAGCAGATTGCCAAAATGAACCGCGAGATCGACCCCCATCTGGCCAAGATTACCTGTGGAACTCACCGCAAGGTCGACGAGGAGGCCTGGATTACCGAGTTTCATGGGGAGAACACCCGCCGCCTCAGTAATCTGCCCACCCTCAGCAAGACCTTCCGTGACGAGGTACTCAACTACGACCTCCTCCACCAGATCTGCGAGGCTGTCTTCCGTAAGGAGTCAGGTGATTACTGGATGTGCACTGCACAGGTTATCGAGATTGGTCCACACAGCAAGGCCCAGCAATTGCACCGCGACACTGCAGAGTTCCCTGGGTTGACCAAGTTGGGTCCCCGAATGGATGAGATCCAAATTAGTTTCTTCACGGCGTTGACCGACTTTACCGCGGAAAATGGTGCAACCCGGGGTATTCCTAAGAGCCACTTGTGGGAAGACTACGAAGATTGGGGCCGCGACGAAGATGCAGTGCCTGCTGTCATGAAGGCAGGAGATGTGTTCTTCTTCACTGGCCGACTGTGTCACGGCGGTGGCGAGAACCGTACCGAAGACTTCTGGCGCCGCGGGATCTCGCTTTGCTTCCAGGCAAGCTATCTCACACCCGAGGAGTGCTACCCCCTGATTATGCCGCGGGAGGTTGTCGAAAGTATGACACCGTTGGCGCAGAAAATGTGCGCTTGGCGCTCGCAGTATCCGACTTTGGGCGGAGGGTTGTGGCAACATAACTACACCGAGGTGGCTGACGCAATTGAGCTGAAAGCAAACCAGCCACTAAAGCAGTGAGACAAAGTAAAAACAGGCGGCGGAAATGCAGAGTAGCTGCAGGTGACCACAGGTGCGGAATGGAAAGCGATCGGAGTGCAAGGGGGCTTGCATTTCGGGATCTGGCCCTGACCGCTATCTTGATATGCTTTATCCAGCTAGTAGTCATTGCTCTGTCAAATGATAGAAAGCTACCACCAATTTCCGTGCTACCTTCCTCTAATATATTTTAGGTCGTGGTGAGATATGCTATGTAGTCAGTAGTAGAGACACTCTTGTCAAAGATAAACATAGTAGGCCTGCCCGCCAACTTCCTCATACTTATCTTCTCATAACGGCGCTTCTTTCAGCTGTTCGATAGGATCCCCTGCACTCAGTATCTGTCCTCACACTTATACCAACAAGCAATATGGTTGGCATCCAAGAACCCCCGCCAGACTATGATATGATCATTGTGGGGGCCGGCTTTGCCGGCGTCACCTTGCTCTACCATCTTCGCAAACAGGGTCATCGTTGCCGGGTGTTGGAGGCCGGGTCAGATCTGGGAGGAACCTGGTTCTGGAACCGCTATCCTGGGGCACGCGTCGACACAGAGGCTCCGTTTTACGGATTGTCTATCCCCGAGATCTGGGAGAGCTGGCAGTGGAGTGAGAAGTTCCCCTCTCAGCCAGAACTCCGACGATACTTCGCCCATCTGGACAAGATGCTCGGGCTAAAGCAGGACATTGACTTTCACACGCGGGTCACGCATGGGCAATTTCGCGAAGGCAGCTGGCATATCACGATAGCGAACGGCCGCCACCTCACCAGTCGATTCCTGATCGCCTGCCCCGGTCCCGGCACCGTGCCACACATCCCGTCGTTTCCGGGGCTCGAGTCCTTCCAGGGCACAGTGACGCACTCATATGAGTGGCCAGAGGAAGGCATCGAGCTGGCCGGCAAACGTGCCGCGGTGATTGGCACAGGGGCGTCAGGCGTGCAAATCGTGCAGGACTGGGCCAAACGCGCACAGCACCTGACCGTCTTTCAACGGACTCCAAACACCGCGCTCCCCATGCAGGCTGAGGGCTGGATGCCCGACACAACCCTCACACACGCCGCCTTCTGCAACTACCGCAATACACACTTCAGTGGTGTCAACTATCAGTTCACTCCGATCAACACCTTTGATGTCGCTGACCCGGCCGCACGGAAGGCCTTCCGGGAGTCGCTGTGGCAGCGCGGCGGGTTTCCCTACGTCTACGCAAATTACCAAGACGTGATGATTAACCCGGCCGCTAACCGCGAGATGTACGACTTTTGGGCGTCCAAGACTCGTGCCCGCATCATCGATCCTCGCAAGCGCGATCTCCTCGCCCCCCTGGAGCCCCTGCACCCCATGGGCGCCAAACGTCCGACCGTCGAGTTGGACTACTACGACCAGTTCAACCGGCCAAACGTCGACCTGGTCGATCTCCGCTCAACCACCATCCACTCATTCGAACCCAAGGGCCTCACCACTACCGATGGTCGCTTCTTCCCCCTGGACGTCGTCGCTCTTGCTACCGGCTTTGACATGATCACCGGCGGTCTCACCCACATGGGGCTTCAGAGCGTCGACGGGGACTCCCTCTACGACCAGTGGCGGGGTGATCGAGGCGTGAAGACCTACCTTGGGATGTCCATTCACGGCTATCCCAACATGTTCTTCCTGGCGGGGCCGCAAGGTCCCTTGTCCTTCTCGAGTGGGCCCATCGGCATTGAAGTGCAGTGCCAGCTCATCTGCGATGCCATCCAGTCGCTGCATGTCGGGGGACACACTATTTTTGAGCCCACAGCTCCCGCGCAGGAAGCTTGGAGTCAACGGGTCAAGGCGATGTTCGATGAAACCTTGTTCCTTCAGTCCCCGGATTCGTGGTTCTTGGGTGGGAACATTCCGGGCAAGAAACGGGAGTTGTTGACTTATGCGGCCGGGTTGCCGCAGTATCAGAAAGATTGCCAGAAGGCCTTTGGTACGTGGGAAGGGTTTGTGCGGAAATAGAATTGTTGAGAGTTAGGACGCATGATGCTGTGTTGCTCTGGGGAGTGATTCTTGGCGCGCTTTTCCTCCTTGGCAATGTAATTCTGCGTTTTGCAACTCGGAATCTTCACTGGATTCAATATAGTTTGAAGAGAAATCCAACAATATCCGGGAAATGAACATCTGCTATTCACACCAAACACACTCCAATGGCTCGTAGTAATGTGTAAAACACTTTATGATCTTCGTATTACCCTTTCATAAACTTAACCTCTCCGCCGAAACCCACCAGTAATCTCCGTTCCAGCCGCCCCAGTTCTCCCCAGATACCCAATTTCTTTCAAGTAGCGCACATTGAGGGTTACAGCCCGCGCCATGTCCTCCTCTACCTCCTCCCACCTCTCCCCAGGCCCCCATGCAGATGTAGGAGGCATGGGACTACTCAGCAGCTGGGTCCCCATGGTCTCAATGACATGCATAACCGGCCAACAAGGATGGGCCTCCCCAACCGCAGCTATCGACTCACTCAGCCGTGAAATCCAGGCCGCATACGTGACACTTTTCCTCAAAGGCCTTGTCTTTTGTGCCCCATCCTCTTCCAAGCCGGCGTTCACCGCATCCCAGAATGTGCCCACCCGCAGCCCGCTAAGTATCATCTTTCTTGTCTGTAATCCTCCAGTGGCCGCGGCAGTAGTCCTAGTATCCACCGGCGGGGAAGATCCAAGCAAACCACTCACTGCCGCGTCCGCGACAGCATCAGCAGTCGAGACGTAAATCCAAGCCCGCTGGGGCTCAGGCTCCGGATAGTATTCGCTGATCAGGACGCACGCACTCACTAGACGCCAGAGCAAGTCATCGAGGTTAGCAGCGTACCGGTGGCTGCGAGCTCCGCCGATAATGAGAGCAGGATTCAGAATGCCTAGTTTAGAACGAGGAATCGTCGTTGGTTGCTGCGCCGCCGTCCACGCCACGATCTGCTCGGCGATCAATTTGCTCTGCCCATACCCATTCGTCTCCCGAAGTTTATGGCGCAGCGTCGCGGGTTCGAACACTACCCGCGGATCGGCGGGATCCCATTGCGCGCCGCCGGAGATGTATTCCAAGTGCGTGATGTGCGGGTTGGAGGCGACGCACGCGACGAGCTGCGCGGTGGCGTGGACGTTAGCGGCACGTAGCTCGGCGTAGCTGCGGTGCCAATGCACGAGAGCGCCGTTGTGAATAATCGCGGTGATTGGAGGAGGTACTGCTGCGTCCTCAGACGCACCCTGACTGCTCCATGTTCCTGCTAGCTGGTTCCACGACGCATCGGAAAGTCCAAGGTGCGGTCGAGAGAGATCGCCAGGCCAGATTTGCACCTTTGGAGCGTGCATCGCCTCGTCCCACCAACCGGCTGTAATGGCTGCGGCTTGGACGCGCTCGAGACCGGTGGCCGAATCGGGACTGCGGACCAGGAGGTAGACGGTTTGTACGCGTGGATCGGTCACTAGTTGGTGAAGGATGGCGGTTCCCACGTAGCCGGTGGAACCTGTCAAGAAAACATGGTGCTTGGTGGATGGGGGAGATTGCGGCGGGTGAGAAGGGGAGGCAAGCGTTAGTGGTGGGTGTGGAATTCCGCTCTGGAGATCCGCCAGCATTAGGTCGAGCTCGTCCTGGTCCTGTGCGGCATCGCTTTCTGGTGCGTCCTCGCCACTATTCGGGCCACGCTGCAGTTGACGCACCTCGTGAGCGAGTTCGGTGAGCACCATCGCGCGTGGGATGCGACTGAGCGGCAGCCGGACGCCGAAGGTGTGGTTGATAGCGCGCACAAATGAGACCATGCGGATGGAGTCCAGTCCTGCGGCGACTGGGGCAACATCAGGTGGATTATCTGAGTCCCATCCAGATGCGAGGGTAGGTAACGAGGGAGCAAGCAATTGGCTTAGCTTTTGGGCTACAGTGTCCGAGGCCGGGATGGTGGCTGTCGGCGTACTTGTGCGCCAGGATGACAAGTTTGGTTGCTGTTCCACCCACTGCTGGAGGCCCTTGCGATCTGTCTTACCGGCCAAGGAGAGTGGGATTAGGTTGACAAGCAGACAGATGGCTGGAACCATGTATGCGGGCAGGAGGGCGGCGAGATGTTGTTGGAGCGAGCTATGGAGATCGGGCCGATCCTGGAGTTGCAGCCCTAGGTCATTACGAGGACCGGAACCGCACTGGGCTACCAGCACCAGCTCGGAGCACCCATTGGTTTTGATGACCATCGCGACCGCGGCCTCCACCCCTTCGTGCTTCCGTGCGGTCGCTTCAATCTCCCCGAGCTCGATCCGTTGCCCGTTCAGCTTGACCTGATGGTCCTTCCGACCGACGAAGATCACGGACCCATCTGGCGCGAAGCGCGCCAAATCTCCGGTCAAATAGACACGCGAGGCCCAGCTGGGGTGATGAGAAAGCGATGACGAATGGCTGTCTTTCCATGGGGCAGATTCCAAGAATGCCTTGGCCTGTGCATCGGGATTATTGAGATACCCTCGAGTCACGATCGGGCCCTGGATGGCCAGTTCGCCCACAAGCCCCAGTGCTACCAGCTGGTGCGGGTCATTCGGCTTCACGATCGCCATGCGACAACCGACAGGGATACCAAAGTTGAGCGGATTGGCAGCGACATGAAGCGGTGGGGTCAGTGCAGCAGTTACACAGCATTCACTCGGCCCGTAGCTGTTGTGAAACGCGAGCGGAGAGGAGCTGTGGCTGCTCGTCCAGCGTGCTAACTGAGCGGCAGTGACAGTCTCTCCGCCCAGGCGCAACTCCTTCAGCGTTGGAACCTCCGCTGGGTCCAAAAGATTGGCTACTGAGGGCGTAATATCAATCACATCTACCTGAAATCGGCTGATCACGGCAGCCAGATCCGTGAGGACCTCGTCTTCACGTGGGATACACACCACCCCACCCACTAGCAGCGGCCCTAACATGTCCGCGATTGAGGGATCAAAGCTGTAGGTGGCCACCTGCAGCATGCGCCGACCACGTTGGAACATCCCCTGTTGGGCCTGAGCCTCGAATGCGGTGGCTACCTGACGGTGCTCGGCTACCACTGCCTTCGGAATGCCCGTCGTCCCTGATGTGAACACAGCATACGCGGCGTTTTCGGCGGTGGCTCCAGATGGGAGGTGAAGGGGGAGAGGATGGGTAGTGGATCGTCGTAGCAGATCAGCACGTCGTTCTGGATCCAGACACAAGACCCGATCTGCGAGGTCCATCACTTTGCCTTTCAGCTGTTGCGAGCAGATGACGAGGGGCGCATTCACCACGGAAATCATGGTCTGCATGCGTGCCACCGGCAGGCCACTGTCTAAGAGCACAAAGGCTCCCCCGGCTTGCAAGACAGCAATAATACTGATCACTGACCAAACGGACTTCTCGTGCGCGATAGGTATCAGCACCTCCGGGCCGACGCCCGCCGCCTGCAGTTGCTGGGCGAGATGGCGAGAGACTGCCAGAAGCTGCTGATAGGTTAGCTCCGCATCCCATGCCACAACAGCTGGGCTGTCGTTCCACTGTCCGGCAGAGGCATTCTGCTCGATGCGGGTGTGCAGGCATTCTGTGACCAAGGAGATAGGAGTAGCATGCCATTGCTGCATAGTGGTGGCGTCGGAGGAGGTCCAGAGCTGGAGCTCCGAGAGGAGAGAGTATTGGTTGGCCGGTTGGACAATCCAGTTGAGGACGTGAATGAACCGTGCGAGCAGTTGCTCCGCCTCCCAACGACTCATGCAGGACTCGGTGTATGTGAGCGAGTGGCGGATAGCGCCGGAAGCGAGGAAGCACTCAAGGGACAAGGGGTAGTCCATGTAATCGTCGCGTCGCTCGCCCAAGACCTCTCGAATAGGGCTACTGCTATTTTTTGGTTCGTCATCCGGCTGGACGACGAGGAGACTCTGGAAGCGCGTGGCCTGGGCGGGGCCAGATTCGCCCAGGGAGGCGATGTGCGCCAGTCCCACATGTTCGTGAGGTAGGCAATCGCCATGTTGCTCTTGAGCAGATGCCAGACACGCCGCAACGGTGGTGGAGCTTTCATCCACTTGTAGACGAAATGGAAAAGTGGCAATAGTTGGTCCAATTATGCTAGCGATGTCGGCACCAGAAACTTCTTCCGCCGTGCGTCCGTTGCTAACCACGCCAAATACCACATCTGATGTTTCGTTGTACCGCGCCAGGACAAGACCCCATGCTGTCTGGATTGCGGTGGCGGCCGTGAACCCCAGATGTTGCTGCTCACGGCCCCAGAGAGACGTGCCGGAAACATGTGCCTGGACCGTCGATTCACCTAGAGACACGGCCCGAGGGAAAGGCTGACCCTCGAATCCGTGGAGATACTGTCGCCAAAATTTCGTGGACGAGCGGGGATTCTTCTGCGCGAGATGACTCGCAAACGCAGAAAACGGGGGATGGATGATTTGGGCACTTGAGAGATCGCGGTACGCTTCCACTACGGCGTCCAGAATCAGTCGTTGCGACCACGCATCGTAGATAGCATGATGAACATGCCAGCGCAGGCGTCCAGGCTCAACCCAGTAGTAAATGAGAGGCTTGCCAAAGGGGGACCTTCTGCTGGGTCTCATGGTCTTCTCAGGCTTCGTGGCCACCGCCTGAGAATGCAACACTGCCATATAGCAGTTCCCATCAGGAAGCTGAATGATGCGACTGCGGAGGATCTCGTTGGCCTCGACAACCCTGGCCCACGCAGCCTCTACCTGCGCCACGGACCAGTCCGGCGGAATTTCAAAGGTTTGCTCCGCCCAATATAAGCCCGGTTGTTGTGCGGTCAACACCATGAGACCCGTCTGCATTGGGGTGCACGGAACGAGATGGGCCACTGCTGACTCGACGACCTCACATTGCTGTACAGCCTGCGATAACACCTCATTCTGCTGAGAGGAAGAAATGTGAATGAAACGACTGGGGTGCGAGGAGGCCGGGTGGGCAGGCTCTTCTTGTTGCACTGGTTGGAGCGGTTGTGTGGCCGCTGCCCGGACCAGGTCGGACAATCGTGGATGGCGGATCATCAGATGGACTGTTAGGGGTATTCTGGCCTGTTGAGCCAGTCGCGCTACTTTCAGCGCATCGATAGAATCGCCCCCCAAGGCAAAGAAGTTCGAGTCGGATTCCACATCTTCCTCCTCTAAATCCAGTATCTGACACCAAAGCTCTTTAATCACATCCTGGCTTGGTGCCAAATTCGCAAGAGGCTCACCGATGCTCCCCATACTCGGTTGCTAGATGATCATTATAGGTATGATACTATGAGAGGGGGATTAACGGCGGCAGTCGAAAGCCGAGGTTAAGTTGTTCTTTTGAAGAAAAACGTTGTGAGGGTGTGATCCACTCAAACGGGACATGTACATATATATGGACAGATTGATCGGCACGTAAATGAAGGAAGGGGGCAGCCATACATTCTGTTCAGGCTGCAAATCAGAAATTCCTCTAATTAAATTCCCTCCCCCCTCAGGCTTTAGTATACTATCTCGATTTTTGTTACGTCTCTTGAAAATCAAGACTAAATGCCCATCAGTATGCCCGACTGAAATTGCTGATAGTGGATGCGATTCACAACTAAGTTACTTTGCGTTCGATGAATACTACCCAGCTAATTTAGACAGAAAATCCATGTCAGACGCTAACTATGAAAAGAGTGTCTACTTCTTGGGGCACCACCTGAGCCAGCCGTAAGCCCGCCGCCGAAATTAATCCTCTCAGCTCAGCCTCCGTCCAGACCCGAAATACCGCTGTGTCGATATTCCGCTCGAGGAGCGTGTCATGACCTTTCCAAACCTCAATATGCCGCACAACGCGCCACACGTTCCCCTGGACCCCGTTTTCCGTGACCTTCTCACGATACACCACGCCTGGAAACCCGACACTAGAATGCTCACTGGGCGGCAGCGGATCGGTGATGTCCTTGTCCAGACCGCGCTCTGGGTCGACAAGAAGCTTGTTCACCACGGAGATTTGGGCTTGCCCGGTCCCGGGGGTGAGGACTCTAGCCACCTCAGCCAGGAATCTCTCCGGCTGACCCGGGAGATAGAAGTGCGAGATACTGCCGAATCCGATGGTGAGGAGGTCGACGGTCCTCTTCTGCATTGAATGCTGTTGGTGGAAGATGGGTAGGGCAGACATTTCCAGCGCAGACCCTAGAAGCCAAGTGATGCGCGCACATCCGGTCTCGACCGCCAGAGTGGCGTTGATCGCCTCCGCCCTTGACAACATGTGCGGCTCGATATCTAGCCCGATAAACTCCACGTTGGCAAGGGAGACCCCGGGAGTGGCCGCTGCATGACGAGTCATCGCCTGGATGAGCCGGCCGGTGCCGGTGCCGACATCCAGTACGAGCAGTGGGGAGGCGGTTTGGGGAGAGGCGATCATCTGAAGGAGGGAATTTTCATTGTAAGCGGTGTCATTGCGTTTTCCGGTCCAGATGTCGTAGTATTCCGCGAGATAGGCGGAGTTGTAGCAGGTGCTTTCCCGCTCGGTGGAACCCATTCTGGGAAAGGCAAATAGGGAGAAAATGGCGCAGAGACGGTCAAAGGAACAATATGAGAGGAACTTAACTGTGAGATGGCAAGCAATACATTCAAAGAATCCAATGCAGAGCCTCGAGAACAAATAACTATACAGGTGGGGCGTATCTGCTGCAGGCGATCGGCCTAATTCATGCACCACCCTAGGGTTGGGGGTGGGGCGGAATTTGAGTTGTGGTTGCCCTAACAAATCCGGAAGGTCTGCAAAAACATATCACAATTCACTCGCAGGATGCAAGGGCTGTTGTGATGCAGGGAGTCACATTGCCCTCTTGTATCTAAGATTTACATTGCATACAAATATGACCGAGCGCAAGTTACACAAACAATGGATCTTACATTTCTACGCGCTGACGTATGTTCGGAGATACAGTCGCGGGTCTTAGGGCATATCTTAAACCCAGATCCTCTCGGTACAGACTTCCTCCTTTCATCAAACCTCAGTTTCATTTAGCAACAAGAGCGACCATGACTATCTTGAACCTGCCCCCTACTGTCTCCCTTGCTGGTAAAGCAGCCATTGTGACTGGTAGTTCCCGCGGCATTGGAGCTGGTATTGCCATCGAACTCGCCCAGCGTGGCGCCAAGGTTGCTATTGTCTACCATGCGGACAAAAGCACCCCGGCAGCCCAGAAAGTGGCAAATGAGATTACCACACTCGGTGGTGTTGCGTCCTTGGTGCAGGTCGATCTGTCGACATTGGACGCCGGCCGTCGTGTGATCGAAAAGGCGCTACAGGGACTGCAGGTCTCACGCATCGATATCCTCGTCAACAACGCAGCAGCATATCCCCCCTTTCTTCCAGTTGCAGAACTCGACGGAGCATTGTTCGAACAGTAAGGGGCCGTTGTAATGTTTTGAAGCTTAAAATGAAAGTCAGTATAGTCTGATGTACATTTATCTCGTCTAGTGAATTCATGGTGAATGTTCGTGCTCCACATTTGCTGGTGCAAGCCCTGCTCCCTCACATTGCAGAAAAGGACGGCCGTGTGATCAACATGTGAGTTCCGCCATTCTCTCCTGCTTATCCAGCCTGCTAAGCGCTTGTAGATCGTCCGCCCTTTCTCGCATGGGTGCTAGCAACCTTTCTCTCTTTGCGGCCACCAAGGCGGCGTTGGAATGCTTGGGCCGTCAGTGGGCGCACGAGCTGGCCTGCCCACACAAGATGACGGTCAACAATGTCGCACTAGGCGAGATTGACACCGCCATAGAAGGTGGGGAAATCCCTGACGAGTTTCGGGATGCGCAGATCGAAGGGCCCAGCGCAGCCAAACGTCATGGCACCATTCAAGAGGTGGCAAACGTCGTCGCGTTTCTGGCTAGCCCGGGAGCAAGCTGGATCAATGGAAATACGGTCTCCGTGAGTGGAGGTCATCTTTACATTTAGGAGACAGCTAGATAGTAGCAGTTATTTCTGGATCGTCCAGGAAGCCGTTTGGAAGCAAATGCCATTTCATTCATTATCCTGTTTACCTCTTCTTCTCAAAAGCTTAGTTACATTAAGGGTGACATCCAGTTAGGAAGATTCAACCAAGTTTAGCTTAGGAAATGAAAATAAGAAGCAATGATGATAATTCCATGCCGGCGCATTTAGGTCTCTGGGACCAGGAGTAGAACTGGATTCTGCGATATAGTCACTCAGTCATACTCGAATCTAAGTGCTTTCGGAAACATCAATTGAAGTATACATGTGTCCTTTAGTTTCGCTTATTCACTTTTCCGGTGCAGAAGAGTAATCATATATATAGAGATAGCGATTACTACGTGATACTGAACAGCTTACAGAACGAATCTTGAAGGATATTTCATTTCATTCCTAATTTCCTATGCTGTTGACCTTTCCTGCTCGCGAGCACGAAGCACATGACGCTGTACCTTCCCCGTTACCGTTCGAGGCAAGTCGGCCCTTGAGAGGAACTCGATAACCCGTGGACACTTGTAGGGTGCGCTATGATCGAGGCAATGCTGCCGGAGTTCCACCTTGAGCTTGCGCAATGGATGCTGCTCGTACTCCTTGTTCAGCACTACATACGCCTTGATGATCGAGCCCCGCTCTTCATTTGGAATGCCGATGACCGCCGATTCGAGAACCCCGGGATGCATCTGTAAAACGGCTTCCACTTCGCTAGGTCCTATGCGATACCCGGATGAATTGATAATATCGTCCGTTCGCGCCTTGAACCAGAAATAACCGTCCGCATCCTGGTACGCCCGATCTCCAGTTAAGTAATACTCCATACCCTTCGCGTTACGAACCACGGGTCGCGTCACAACCCCCTGGTCGTCGACGTAGCCATTGAAGACATCATAGATGGAGTCTGCGCAAGCAGACAAGCACACCCCAAGAGCACCTTCCTCTCCAATGGAGGCTGGTTCCGCCGTCTCTCCTAAGACCTCCAGCGGAACCCCGGGTAGAGGTCGACCCATCGACCCCGGTCGTTGATCATTGGTGGATTCCGTGCAGAGGAAGACTGTCTCGGTTAAACCGTACCCATTGAGTATGGTAGCACCCCGAGTGACCTGTCGCCAGGCCTCAATAACAGACCCCTCAATTGCCTCTCCAGCACTAATGCAGACTTTGAGAGATCGAGGCGGGTGGGTGGCCGCAAATTGCCGACTCCCGGACGTGACGAGCTGCCTGTAGGCTGTCGGAGTGGCACAGAAGCTGGTGACCGGATACTCGTGCAAGATCCTTAGCGTTTGGATGGGATCAAAGGCTAGTCCCGGTGTTTCATCCACGAGCAACGCAGCGCCGTGGTTCCAGGCAGCGAATACCGCCCACGATCCTTTGACCCAGCCCACTTCGGAAAGGCTCCAGAAGAGACTATGCGGATGGAGTTGACACCAGTGCTCTCCGGCAATTCGACTGCTAAAAGCTAGAGAGATCTGGCTATGCTGGACTAGCTTTGGCTGTCCGGTTGACCCTGAAGTAAAATAAAGGACGCAAGGCGAGCTTCCCTCCGAATCGACGGTGATGTCTGCGCGATTCGCTTGGCCCATGGAAACCAGGGCTGGATACCCAAGTGCTTCGGGGACCTTTTCATCGGACCCTACCTGGATCAAATGTTGGAGTGTAGGAAGATATGACCGGACGGACAAGACCTTCTGGATCTGAGGTAGGTCGCCGATGAAGGCTTTGGCGCCGACTTTCTGAATGCGATACTCGAGATCGGAAGCAGAGAGTGCGCCGGCCACGGGGCAGACCAGAATCCCACTGCGAATCGTAGCACAAAGGATTTCATACCATTCCTGGCAACGTGTGGCCGAGACGACAATGGTATCTCCCTGTTGGACTCCTAGCGCGTACAACGCGGTGGCAACGTGGATGGAGCGCTCACTAAGCTCACGATACGAGACATCGCGGCGCTCTCCCTTCGTTACTAGGACGAGAGCGGAGGAGTCGGCTCTCTGCTGACTCCAGCGATCGATGACTTCTCGGGCGAAGTTGAATAAAGTAGGTTTGGGGCCAGGCTGAATTCGGGTCATCTTGCTACCAATTTGAGAATTTAGTAAGAAAGGTGAGCAGCGTAGTAGCAAAGGCCGATGTATCGATTTATGGATGGATCCCCCTTTTGTTCTCGAAGTGCGTCGCCGCGAAGCCCTGATCTACATTACCGCTACCAAGCAAATATAATGCGCTCTCCTTTTTAACATCACCCCTTGTTCCCCTTACGTTGACAAGTTATCATTGAACCTACCGTGGCCCAGCAAACAGAATCCGTCCACTATAGACTTATTCTGCATAGGCATACTGAAGGTGTCGCCGAGGAGAGTTTCCTGTCTACAAGCTACGGGCTCTCATACAGCCAACGAGTACGTAGATCATGATGCAAACCGGGACCCTTGCGCAAGGCGCGATGGAATCTTCATAAACAATTGCGCCCAGCATATGACACGGGGCTCCATAAAAGGGTGTTGTTGTCAACTCTAAGAAGCATCTCAGACACCATCACACCACCGCTTCCAACAATCATCATCATGCGTTTTTTATGTCTGCACGGCATCGGCACCGGAAATGCCATACTGGAGGCCCAGCTATACATGATCAAACGTCAGCTGCCAGGCCATGAGTTTGTCTTTTTCCAGGGGGAGCTGGAAACTCCACCCGCGCCAGGTAGAATGCTCTTTTCACAGCAATTAGGTTTTGTGTAGGCGAGGGTAAGACTGACCGTCGCGACAAACTAGGAGTCGACAAGTTCTTTCCGGGGCCTTACTACTCTTACTTCACCGTTCCCTCTCCGGACACCGTGCTAGAAGCGGTCAACCGCTTGGAGCAATTCATCGACCTCCACGGCCCGTTCGATGGGATTCTAGGATTCTCCCAGGGGGCCGCCCTGGCCGCTTCCTACCTTCTCTACGACGCCAACCGGCCATATCCTCATGCCGAGTTCAGATGTGCGGTGTTCTTCTGCGCAATCCAATGTTGGGATCTCGAAAGCCCCGGGTTTACGCTGGATAAGGAGGGACACTGCCGTACTATTGCAGAGGAAGGGAAATCCTCCGAGGTTCTCGGCAAGACGGACAATATTACGAGCCTTTTTGGCGCCGCTGACCATCCCCTGCTTTGTCGGCAATGGAATGCAGCCACACCGCTACTGTGGCCGTACGGGAAGGCTCCCATGAGTTTGGATCCACTGGCCCAGATCTCGCTCCCGTCACTGCATATTGTCGGCGCCAAAGACCCTTATCGGGCCGACGCACTTGCCTTGCAAACACACTGCGCCACAGGTAAGGCCCAGATGGTGGAGACGGCGGCCGGACATGAGATCCCTCGTGATCCCGTTCTGGTACGCAAGGTTGCTCAATTCCTTCACACAGCCCCCTGTTCAGCCCAGAAATGAGAATCCCGAGCGCATGGAGCTGGCTTAAACTTTATCGGACTGATCTGCAGCTGAGCAGGGCGACATGGCTAGCTAGAACTGGTCTGCAAAAATGACTTTTTATCATGTTTCTATTACTTTTCTGTTCGTAAATGAGATAGATGGGTTCAATTTCGGCTGCGGTCTGGTTGTGGCAATAGGCCTGAACCAATTCAACCTTTCCCTCATAGAGACGACATTGGCCACACTGGAAGGGGGCTACGGAACTGTCATTCATCGTTTATGATCTAATAAACTTCTTCCTTGGTTCCTTTTCTTTCTAGTTCTGGATTACGCCCATTATTTTACGATGAACGAACCTATCGCCATCATAGGCAGCGGATGTCGACTGGCGGGCGGGTGTGATTCACCCTCGACGCTCTGGACTCTTCTCCAACAACCCTACGACGTCTCCCAAGACTTACCCCCAAATCGAATTCCACCATCACGACACAATGCCTCTCCTCGCGGGTATTTTCTTTCACAGGATGTCGCCAACTTTGACGCTTCGTTCTTCAACCTTAACCCCCTGGAGGCGCAAGCTATGGATCCTCAGCATCGACTGTTACTAGAGACAGTCTACGAGGCGCTGGAGGAGGGAGGAATGCCCGTCGAGGGATTGCGTGGTTCCGACACCGCCGTATATACGGGGGTGATGTTCCATGACTATTTAACGCTCAGTAGTCAGGACAATGATTCAATCTCAACGTATCACATTACAGGCACGGCGCCGAACAAGGCCTCGAATCGCATCTCGCATTTTTTCGACTGGCATGGCCCGTCTGTGACGGTGGATACTGCCTGCTCATCCAGCCTGGTCGCTCTTCATCAAGCGGTGCAGCAGCTACGGACAGGGGAATCTCGCTTAGCCGTAGCAGCTGGGGCCAACCTGCTTCTTGACAGTCGTCCCTTCATTGGATTCAGCAATCTAGGCATGCTCTCTCCCACCGGGAGCTGCAAGATGTGGGATATTAGCGCCGATGGGTACGCCCGTGGGGAGGGGATCACGGCCCTCCTGTTGAAGCCACTTTCCCGCGCCCTCGCCGACGGCGACAACATCCAATGCGTGATCCGAGAAACCGGGGTGAATCACGACGGACGTACCAGTGGGATTACACTACCTAGCGCAGCGGCTCAGGTGAGCCTCATTCAAGACGTTTACCGTCGTGCGGGGCTGGATCCCACCCAGCCCAGTGATCGACCTCAGTATATTGAAGCCCACGGTACTGGCACCCAAGCCGGAGATCCGGTGGAGGCAGAGGCGCTAGCCACAGCCTTTTCGCTCACATCTACGCCAGACCACAGCGAGATCTGTCCTGTATGGGTAGGCAGCATCAAGACGGTGGTCGGTCACACCGAGGGCGCTGCGGGCCTGGCTGGCGTCCTGAAAGCATCTCTGGCCCTACAACATGGGATAATTCCGCCAAATCTGGGTTTCCTACAGCTGAATCCGAAGGTTGCACCGTATTGTACTCAACTGACTGTCCCGACCAAGGCTGAGCCATGGTCCAAGAGGTCATCATCCGCTACTCCACGTCGAGCCAGCGTCAACAGCTTCGGGTTCGGAGGCACCAACGCCCATGTCATCTTGGAGTCCGTTGGGCTGCCGGAGGTCCCGCCTTCTGGAATTTATTCGCAGGCGCCAACATCGTGCTCATCGTCCCTTTTCCCCTACGTCTTCTCGGCCGCCTCAGAAAGGTCGTTGATAGGGATGCTCAAACGATACAACGAGTACCTGCAAGCCCACCCATCTATCGACCCAGCACATCTAGCGTCAACACTGGCCGGACAGCGATCCTTCCTTCCCGTCCGCATCAGCTTCCCGGCGTCCTCGCTAGAGGTATTACAGGAACGTCTTGCTGCGATCCTCGCCGCCGAGTTCCCGTCGGCGGGCCACCGCTCCTCATTACGAGAATCACGCATCCTCGGAATATTCACGGGTCAAGGTGCCCAGTGGTCGCAGATGGGTGCGGGTTTGCTCGCGGCGTATCCACCGGTGGCCTCATTCCTCGATAGCCTGGATGCCGCCTTACAATCTTTGCCCGAGGAGGACCGACCTTCCTGGTCCCTACGCGAGGAACTGCAGCGACCCTCCGAGGAAGCGCGCCTGGAGGTCCCCGAGGTCTGCCAACCTGCCTGTACCGCGGTACAACTGATGCTCGCCCACCTGTTGCAAGCTGTCGGCGGGGTCTCGTTCGCAGCGGTGGTAGGCCATTCCTCTGGCGAGATTGCCGCCGCCGCGGTCGCCGGGTTCCTACGCCCCAGGGACGCTATCCGCATCGCCTTTTATCGAGGCTTGCACGTCAGTCGCATGCTCCCCGCCCTGCCCAAGGAGGGCCAGATGCTGGCCGCGGGTCTGTCTCAGGCCGCGGCGGAAGAGCTGGTCAACACCGTTGCATTTGAGGAGCGAGTGGGGGTAGCAGCAGTGAATTCCTCATCCAGCGTGACGCTCTCGGGCGACGCGGATGCAGTGGCGGAGATGAAAGCCTACCTGGATAGTTGCAAGGTCTTCAACCGGCTGCTAAAGGTTGGAACCGCGTATCACTCGCATCATATGCGCGCGTGTGCCGCCGAGTATCACGCCTCGTTGGCCCGGTGTCAAGTAGAGGTCCTGCGTCCTTCGGGCAACAACGCCCCGCGCTGGTACTCGAGCGTACGATCGGGGCAGGCCATGATTGATGACAGTGATTATGATAGTCATAATGTTGAGAGAAGCATAGAACTAGCCGCATCGTACTGGGTAGACAACTTGGTGAATCCTGTGCTCTTCCACCATGCGGTTTCCAGCGCCATCACAAATCGTGAGATGGAGGTGAATTTCTGTCTCGAACTCGGTCCACATCCGGCCCTTCAGGGGCCCGCCATGCAGACCATAATCGAAGCCCGTGGCTCGGCGCTCCCTTATTCAGGAACCCTTCACCGGAGCAAGGCAGACAAGATGGCGATTTCGGAATGTCTAGGTGACTTGTGGGTGCATCTAGGCAGTGCGGGAGTCCCCAATCTCCAAGCCTTCGCGCACACACCACACAGGCCGGGACTGACGGACCTGCCGAGGTATCCTTGGGACCATGAGCATAGCTTTTGGGTCCCAGGGTCGTCAACCCGCTCTACCAAACGGCGTGTCACGCAGCATACGATGTGTAAAACTCCAGTCCACAGCTTGCTAGGATCACGGGACGAGCTGGTTGAAGCAGTTGACGCGACCAACGTGTACCACTGGTCAAATATATTGTGTGCTGACCGGCTAAATTGGCTGAGCGGACATATTCTTCAAGGGCAGATCATCTTTCCAGCCACGGGGTATCTGGCATTGGCAGTGGAGGCTGCTCTGCAGGTGGCCGCTGGACGACCAGTGCAAGCGATTACCCTCGAGGAAGTCAACTTCCTCAAGGCCCTTAGGGTGGACGAGAAGGATGGAGTCAGCACCACCGTCAGTGCTCAGGTGTCTCGTGATGATGAGCAGGTGGTTCAGGCAAGGTTCAGAGTGGATGTGGACCCGACAGAGGAAACGAGCCGATCTACTGCTGCGGCCACGATGAACATCACGATCCACCTGGGCAACCCGGTCGAGGATCTTCTGCCCGAAGCAACCTCTTCTTCGTCGCCAGCAATGATGACGGATCTGGA